TACCCTCAAATATTCACCTTGGGAAAGGTGCTTTCAGTTGTTAAGTTTGCTGTAAGCATTCAGTTCCTACATCACCTGGATTCCATGTTGTGTGTGCATGTTATAATGCAAATATATTTGTTTCACCTGCCCTTTGGAGTAAATTAAGTAAGTAGGGCTTCTTTATATGTTGGTGCAAAGGAAAAAGAAGGCTGTATTTAAAGACTGAAGAATTATTACCTTAAATTTCAGATGTGTAAATCTAAGTTGTAATATGCGTATGAATATAAATATAAGTTGAAAATGAACTTCATGATGGGGCGATGAACTGACTTTACTGAATCTTTCTTGCCTAGAATTTTCAGTAAAGACCAATGGTACAGGCAGGTGTTTTTTTCCCCAAGCTGAGTTTAGGCACATATACATTGCTATTTATGTGCTGTAAGTGCCAGTAACTGCAGTAAATAAGGTTCCTCAATTGCTGTTCATTTTGACAAGGATACAGTCTGGGAATGAGTTTTCTGGAAGATTTAACGGTATGGATGGTTTTTAAGTACCAATAGCAGGCTGTTTTGGACTAACAAAGATATAGATTCATAGACTAAAGCCTGAAAAATCAAAGATTTAATTATTGCAGTTGCCTCTGTAATTGCAATTAAGAAACTAAAATCCACTGGCTGTATAATGGGGTAACAAGCCAAAGGTCTTTAGCCTTTCACAGCATTGATAATGGTACTACTCTAAATACATCTATGGAGCAAAACACACAGACTAGGAAATGTTGAACATGATATTAAATGTATCATGTGACTAAAAGGAGGGTGTTTTGACCTACATCTTGATTGGTTGCTTATTGTAAGAATTAACTAACTAATTAAAAATACCTGAATACTGCAGTAAGTGAAAAAAGATTGAGTAAAATCACACATATAATGGATTTATCAAAGGCTAAGAGAATCCTGTAGAAATCTCTTATGAAATACATGCCTAGCAGAAAGCAAAAGTAGGAATGCTTCCTTCTTAGACAGATTTGTTGTCTGTTGTAGTGAAAAAAATTATCATATGATTCTATGATTCTATGAAATCTCAAACATTTTTTTCTCTGGGCTCTTGAGAAGTGCCTCTCTCTATCAGCTGTGGCATGCTGTTAGAGACCGTGAAACATCTTAAAGAATAATGCCACTAAAATATTGGCTGTGTTGAAATCAGTGACAAATCACTGATGAAAAGAACTGGGATGTCATACTGCCACTCGCTTATAAAATGACTTGAAATATACATCTTCAATCTCTTTGTGTGCATAAATGCAGTTTTTACCTTAGTCCTACAGCAATAAATACAGTTTACAAGTTCTTCAGGAGGACGAGGCTTCCTCAAATGTTCAAATTAAGCGTTTAATTGGAAAACCCAAATTCACAGTCTGTATTTTCTGGTGAGTGAGTAGAAATTAATTCACTTCTTAGGACTTGTGATCATCTATCCAAATGATCATACAGTTCTTAAATATATCTTAGCATTGAATTTGCATTGAAGTTCTTTCTTCAGCTCTCAGTGAAGTAAATGGGACTTTGAACAGCCTTGCCTTAAGAGATACCCCTTGTCAAGAAATCATATTCTAATCATATTGATCATTCCTCTATTAAGCTTCGAAGTTTCAGCTACTTTGAACTCAGTTTAACTGAAGAGTGCTGCAAAATGTGCTTCGTCATTGTCCCTCTTGTTCAACTTGGGAAAATATGTACAGAAAAACTATTTCATTCTGTTTTCTCTGGTTCAGATTTTGCAAATTTCTCAGCAAAAACTATATCCTATAAAGTTTATCAAAGAGGTGGCCAAAGAGGTCTCACTTTACTGTTAGTTGCCTTTTCATTTTCTCTTAATCTTCTGTTGCAGAGAACAATTTGTCACTGTTTATGATCGAAACCCTCTGTAGGCCTTCAAAAAATTTCACATAGAAGTCATATTTTCAACTCTCTATGATCTTCAGCCTAGCAAGGTTATTTCCTTTGCAGTGAACAGGTGAAACTCCACTCAGCACAATCATCAAAAGCTCTATCAGATCTAATAGGAGTTTAGGATGCTTCTTTAACTAGCAAACTAAGCACATGCTTGAGAGTTTACCTGCGGTAAACTCTGTGTTGAAACAAGCTTAATACTGGTTAATGCTCTGTAGCCATGAGCCTTTCCTCTCTGAAAACTGAACTTATCAATGTTGGCCTTCTTCTGGAAGAGATCTTCCCTCAAGAGACAGTCTGGAGTTACCTACTGACTTATACTATCTGATCAAAGGCTCTGCAGTCGTAATAAAGGATTCATTGCTTTCTAGAAGAAGTATTTAGCTTCTGACAAAGAAGAGGTAGAATGAACTGGCTTCTATTTCTTCTGGTAAACAGAAAGCCCGATGGAAAACACAAATTAGAAATGGACTCCAACATAAAAAGCAGTGCCTAAGTTACTCTTCACATTTTAAAAAGTCAGCTTCTAACTCTGGGTTACATTTCTTACCAGTAACCTAACTGATATATTATTATTTTTGAGGAATACAATTTAAATTACACAGCCATAGGACTCACAGTAAAAAAAAAAAGTATTGTGGATATATTGAAACTTAACATTAATTCTTGGAAGCTGACATAGAAATACAAAGTTGACAGCATATGCTTTACAGTAACACACTAATATAGGTAAAAAATGCCTAAAAACAACACGATGATGGAATCTATTTCTGTTGTGAGTCAGAAACAGCTTCAGCTGCTTCTCTTCTGGTGAAACGTAGCTGCTGTGTGATGAAGTAGAGGATAGAGCTTGCATTTATGCAGGTAATTAGCAAGTTTTGGACACTTCAACAAAGGAACACTTTCAAAACACAGATGACATAGTGGGTAGAAAAAACTAAATAGTAAGACTTAATAGTTTGGGTCAAGCTAAATCCATATCAGTCAGGCAATCCAAGTCATACTAAGTGGGTGCTTTGATTCACATACTGACATGTTGGATTAATCATCAAAAAAGGCTCTGAAAAGCCTTGGCTTAAGCCTGCATGAAGGCTGAGTAAACCAAAGTAACCTGCAGTCTCACTGTCATATAAATATGAGCTCATAATTGGTTAATTAAGATAATCAATTGTAAGAATGGAATGGAAGTGCCCTAGGTGTCTTTGTATCTCAACCCATGCGGCTTTTTGCTCCTGTTCTTTCCATTTTGTCCCCTGATCCTTGCAGAGGAAGTGAGGGTGCAGCTGGGTGGAAGTTTGCTTCAGTCCGGAGCCAACCCCTCACAGGAATAACAGCTGATTTCATTTGTCAGAACGTACCTGGATAAATATAAGAGCTACAGCAGGGATAGAACTGTGTACCTCACTGTCAGTCATTTTCTCTGAAGATCATATCCTGGACATCACATGAAGATTTTAGATTTTGAGATTTTAGATTATCTGAATTTGAAATTCCTTTTTCCATTTTAAAGCACTAAATGCATTTGTGCAAATGTTAACTAAAAAAAAAAAACAAACACACTGCCCTTGCTTTGCTTCCTACGTTGCACTACAGAGAAAATGCTAACTTTACTCATAAAACAGTTAGTCTCATCCAACAGGTTGCTTGGGATTTTAGAAAATCTCTGCTGCCTTTATAAAACCAAAAGCACATCATGCTGTAATCCCAAATTTCTGTTTTCATTATAATTTGGCATCAGTTCTCTGCAATACTCAGTTCAAAAGACCTGTCTGTTTTTCAAGTGATGCTTAGCACAAGTTACCAAGCGTGCGTGCTGAGGTGATATTGAGAACTTGAAAGTAAATTATCTTCTACTAATTCATGGACAAAGTATAGTAAACTTAAAGACTTCTGGGCTGAATATTAACTATAACTGGAGATATAATTAAATATAACGTAGCCTACATGTTTCAGTGTGCATTCCAAGGCACAGCTCTCATGCTTTGTAAGTTCTTGGTGCTCTAGGAGGCAGCTCAGTTAACTTTTCAGATCTATATCCGTACTAAGGAGTACCACTCCTCTCATTGAACAGTAGCAATCTTCATAGCATAAAAACAACATAAAGTTCAGCTTATAACCTGAGGGTGCATTCAGCTTGTTTGAAAGGGTGTGCAGCTCAGCCTTGCTTCCAGCAGGACTGCATAGAGTAGAGGGGCAGAAGCATCCCACCTGGCAGAGCAGCTCTCTGCTCCAGATCCCAGCAGCGGGTGCTGACAGGCATGAACCAGGCATTCAGTGTGGAGCCACGCACCTCCATGCTCATCCACACTGCTGGATGCAGCTGAAGCCTGATCCTGAAAGCCAATCCATCAAGTGGTACACCAGAATTTGTCAGGACTGGACTAACTGTGCTGACAGCTGTGAGTGGGAGGTAGTGAAATTCATTGCAAATAGCCATAAATCATTCCACTAACTAAATTCATACATGCATGCATAATAATATATAAAGAAGCTGGTTAGACCTATGCCTCACTTCTGAGCCACCAGTATGAAAGAAAATATTTTCTGAGAGACAGAATATCATTTACCAGGCATTTTTATATACAGATGTGCTTATATAGACTGTTCATGGGGACATCAAAGAAAATAAGGAAAAATAAGAACTTGACTATATTTGCAGAGTGACACAGTGCCTTAGCGGGGACTAAACAACAAGTCTCCTAAACTCCCAGGCTAGTTTATTTTCCTTAGAGCTCAAAAATCGCTTTGTGCATTTGATTGGATTACTAATAGGCTGCAATATAAAGAAACTGTCATTTAAAGCATTTCATTCTTTACTGACACTTCCTAACTGCTTTTTGTTACAGTAGAAAGATTACCATTTATTTTCTAGTCCTAGAAGTAGGTGATAAGAAATAGGCAAGAAAGAATACATATTTATATATATGTATATATGTATCTATGAATTTCTGCTTGAAAACATATCAAAAGAGATAATATATTCTACCCCCTTCCATGTATTTAGACCAGTGATCTCTCAAACAAGTATTTAGATTTCAAAAAGCCACTGCAAACTGCTGTTCCTACCTGTCTTCTAGAAGCAATAGTGCTATTGAAACTCTTGTTAGTCATCTTGGAATTCACAGTCTTGTTTTGGTGAGCCACATCATTCTTCCATGTCTTAGAGTTTTCCTTAGGGTCCGAAGGGATGGGATTCAGGAACAGTATTCTAGCAATCAGTCCATAGAGGACAGTTGCCAATACCATTGGTAAAACATAAAATATTCCAAAGTCCATCATGTAGATAGGAGAGTAATAGCTCCTGGACACCTTGTAGCCACAAGACACAACAGTAGTGTCTTTGTAGACTGCTGTATTGAGATCTAGTAGGAAAAACCAGAGCATACAGTATATGGAGGTGAAAGACCAGACAAAAATAATGATCTTTTTAGCTCTTGAAAATGTGCATAGGAATTGAGCTTTGATTGGGTGGCAGATAGCTATATATCTCTCGATGGTGAAAGCAGTGATGGAAAAAGAAGAAGCATTGATCCCTAAGTATTGGAGATAAGTGATGCAGAGGCACCCCACGTAGCCATACACCCAGGATTTGTACAGACTTTCAGTGATATTGGGTAGTCCTGCAGCCACAAGCACCATGAGATCTGCCACAGCCAGACTCACCAGATAGCAGTTAGTGGGAGTTCTCATGTGTTTGGTTCTGAGGACTACCAAGACCACCATGATGTTGCCCACGATGCCCAGTCCACAGATGAGGAGGACCAAGAGGATGGTAACCACTTGGTATTCAGCTGTAATGATTTCCTGGCTTGACAGCAGCAGCCCAGTGTGGTTCTGCTCGTCGCCTGTGCCATTCTCCATCTTCACCAGCCTGCTGCTGCTCCTGCCTGGCGCTTGGTCTCAGCACATGTTCTCCATGGTCCCTGCAAAAGGAAGAGTGGAGCAGAGCGTGGATGAGCCACAGCCCCAGAGCACATTCTCCATATAGTCACAGTCCCATTCCTGTCCTGTTCTCCACTCACCTGAAAGCACTCGGACTTTCAGTCTTTGCAAATTCGATTACCAGACAGGCTAATCCTTCCAAGACTCCATGTACACAGGCTAAAAAACTTTTCTCATAACTGGTGTGAGGTATTCGTCAGGACACAGCACGTGGAGATTTCCACTCGGTAGTGGGGGAGGAGGCAGGGAAAGCAGGCAGCCCTGCTGCACTGCCAGCTGGCTGCAGCCCTGCACGGGACTGAGCGAATTCAGCCCTGGCCGCCTTCAGCATCTCCGCTTTCCAGGAGGAGCCACAACGAGCTGAGGGTGGAGACAGCAGCGGGAAGTAAAGGGAGAGAGATTTGTAAAGCTCCACAGGTTTGCTGCTTCCCGCTGCTTTCCCTCTGCTCTCAGATGGCTCACTGATCGATCACATTGATCTACCCTGGAATCAAAGGGGAAACTGACTGACAATAAAAATACACTGATTTCTAAAACTCTGGTTTTCCCTCTGTCCTTGTGGAAGTGCCGGTGTTTTACATTTCCCCCTGCTTTGCAGGAAACTGTAAGCATCCCTACAGAGCTGTCATAAATATCTCAGTTTTAGTAAGCAGCAAGAAAAACTAGTCCCTTCCCTTCTCCATTTTCCTTCCCTTCCCTTCCCTTCCCTTCCCTTCCCTTCCCTTCCCTTCCCTTCCCTTCCCTTCTCTTTTTTTCTTTCCTTCTTTCCATTTAGGGCAATTGTTTTTGCTTTAAGATGTGAAGAAAGGTATTATTTATTGCTTGTTAGCCTTCAGCATTTCTGCTACTGGTCTGTATCTGAGATGGAAGTTGTTGCTGTATAAGACATGGAAAATAGATCTTGATTATCATGCAATAGAGAATATATCTACAAGAAGTATTCAGAAGATTTTGATAGTGTTAGTCAACACCATTTATGGAGCACTTCCCTCTGCTTTCCCTGTGGTACTTCCCCAAGCTATAATGTTCCTGTAAAATCTGAAGTCATTTCAGAAAGAATTTCAAGACAGTAAATATTTGTTCTGTGTAATTAAAGCATCCAGTGTCATGGACTTGGCATAAATATTGTGTGATGTGCATTGCCTGCTACATTCAAATTACCTTCTTAACATAATCATCAGTCAGAGATCACATACTGAATCTGGAAATCAGTAAAAGATTGGCTTTTTCTCCTACTTAATGCTGTGTGAATTTTGCCAGCAGCTGTGTTGGTAGGTAGAATATTGCAGCCTTCAAAATACACTGGCTAGTTTCAAAACAATTCAGCATTAATATATGCAAGCCCAGCAGCTGTGCCAGAGAAACTGTGAGAGCAGATGGAGCAGAGATTGCTGTGAAACTTTTATAGCATGTCTGCTGCTCCATTTTATACACATACCTGTTGGTCCAGGCATCAGTTGATATTACATGTACAAATGAGCACATATGCTGCTAGCAAGTCCAAACAACAGACAGAAAAACAAACTCTTGAAATGTTCTGACTCTTGCTAATAATTTTCTGTTGGTACAACTATTTGTGTGGGAGGGAGGGGGTATGCATTACATTGATACACCCTATGCTGAACACTGCTTAGCTAACAACATTCTTGTACAATTTTTTCCCCAATTCGTCTCAATTACAATGTGTCTGCTCACTTGGGGCACAACAAAGCTGTAACAAACTGTTTCATAACATTAGGCACAAACTGAGATGGAACAGTGAATCACTATAAACACTTTGTCCCAACAGCTGTAAATTATTCTTAATTCTGTTTCCCTAACTCAGATCACTTCCCCAACTGGCCTTTTCTGTTCTAAAAAATGGCAAGCAAAAATGGCAATCTCATACCCTATCACCTGTCTGGACTCAGAATTCATAAAATTTCTTAAATAATGTGTACTGTTTACTACGTACGCACTTCTGAGGAAGTGTCAGGCGCTCCCTGCTGTGCAAATACCTCCAGGTCTGCAGTTTTAAAGAAAGACACCATCCATGATGGACCTCCAGTGTCATCCGAAAGCTGGCTTTTTAAAATTGGTTAGTAGCTACTGGTATGATTGGCTCTAAATGGGCTTTGGATTTACACTTGACATGGTAAAATATTTAAGTAACTTAACTTAGGTGGTCAAGAATTTATTTGCCTACATCTGCTTCACCACACAGCTGTACTTTTGTGCTAATGCAGTGAGCCTATGGCATAATTTGGTTTGTGGGACAAATCTGCCTCTGCAAAAATCTGTTATGAGTGAAAATTTGAGGGAATCAAGCACATCTTCTTCAAGAGAAATCTCATTACCCATGGGCAGTAATCCTTTCTAACTTGTTTTTAAAGACTTTCACCAAAGAACACCCCTACTAAAGCACTGCTAAAATCCTGGATGTGTTTTCCAGAGGTGTCCAAGTGTTTTAGGACTTGTGATGACTTGAGGATTCCTAAATGCATCTCACAAATTCTATTTGATTTGGGGGATTTTAATCTGCATATCTACATAAAAGTGCAGATCCCATATCAGTGCTGATTTTTGCATATCTCCTTTGTTTACTTTTAATCTTTGTAATGTACTGGTCTTGGCTGTTACATCAAGAACTTTTAACCTAATTGTTCTGAAAGAACACTTGTCACAAAGAATAAGAAAAATGGTTGTAAGCAATCGATTGGCTCACACTGGAAATACTGTTTAACTATTGCCTGGCAACAAGGTCACTGGGTACAGTGATCTGCTGAGACAGATCTGAGATCATGGGGCAAAGAGGACTGAAGGGTGTTAAAGAGGTCTACTCTTTTCTTCACTAGTATCTATCAATGTGAGTGGAGAGAAACTGTTACTAGAGAATGACGAAGCAGAGGGAATTTTACCAGAATAAATGCAGAGAGTTCAGACTACTGAAGGGGCAAGGAAGCCTGCTTTAATGAAGCTTTTTGATTTTCTGAATCAATCCTGCATTGACTGGGACTTTACCATTCGAGAGACTATCATCTAAGTCAAAGTCTTCACAAGAAAGTGATCTAAAGAAAGAGAGGGTACAGCTCAAAGGGATAAACACAAAATGCTTCATGTCAAAAGGGAGAAAGTAAGTACTCAAATTCAGTGTTGAAAAGCTGGCAAGTGAACTCTGGAATAGACTGTCTGCAGAAGCAAGAATCTTCAGAACTGAAGGTCAATAAAGAGCCATCTGTAATAGATATAGCTGATTTGGCCTGGGAGTCCTAGAAAGGGCTGGATATCTACATGAGGTTTGTTCTGGCCCTGCTGCCCTCTGATTCCATCACTGTAAACCTTGTATGTCTTTCTTCACTTTCTTCCTCTCTTATGCACTTCTAAAGAAGAAAAATGTGATCCTGACACTTACATTTTCAATGGGATATGGAAGGTCCTCAAGTGAAGACAGAACCGCTCTGTCTTTGTACTCCAATAAATAAAACATAAAGGATAAAGGTACTCTGCATTTGGTGACAAATCCCATCACAACGTCTGTGCCCTACTGTTCATAGGAAGGAGAAAGGCCTGAATTCTGCCCACCTTGGAAAAACACAGGTCTGTACTCTACGAACTGAAGTTCTCTGTGCTGGGAATTTCAGTCTGGAGAAATTCAGTGCCTTTCCTAGGGAGCTGGAATGCATCCAACACAGGGAAGATTGGACAGGCCTTACAAGGAGCACAGAGCCTCTGCTTGAGCTCTGCTCTACCACTGCATGATGAAATGGGCATCTAGATTTCAGTGGCACAGGCATAGACGTGAAGCACAGTAGTCGAAGAGCAGCAGGAGGAGTTGTGGTATGGTTACAAAATTGCCATTACTTTAATGAATTAATGTTTTTCAGACTTTCCTACAATAATCGGTGAGCAGTGAGGTTGAATGCAAATTGCAAATAAAGGTTATAATCAAGGATAATTGATTTTTTTGTAGCTCACTTTGTCATCCTTCCTTTTCCAGCCCAACCTCCTATCACAGTATAGTCATTAAAATAATTATTACTAAGAAAGGAGTCTCCAAAACAGTGTAAAATTCTTACGATACTTATTTGAATTGTAATCACTGTACACTAGGAGTGAATTTAAAGATGGTAGTGAGATCATCCACAAGTTGATTTTAATAATGCTATGTTCATTAGAGCTGTCAGAAGGTCTGAACCCCTCTATTTCTCCATTTCATAAAGTGAGAAACAAACAGGAGTTTCTTTTCTTCAAAAACAGTTATCTCAATGATATTGTGACAAGTGCACTGGAAATAAAAAAACTGCCATTTTATGACAGTGAGAAGGAAAAAAAGAATATCTCTCCCCAGGAAATCAACTACATAAAGGATTATACCTGTAAAACATCGCATTTTTAATATCTTTAATATATTGAGCACTGTGTAAAGCATAATTTTTCATTAGAAAAAAATATTAAAGATGACTATAAAATTTCTACAAATGCATTCACCTGTGCTTTTTATAAAAATGAATTGTGGAAGCATCAGCGATCATTTAATGCTATTTTAGATTAAAAAGGATGCTGAGAATTTCACTAATACAGTCAAATTTTTTCAGATAGGCTTAAAAGAGCTATTAGCTGTGAAGGTCAGCATACTGAATATTGATAAAAAGGATTTTGACACTACAAAATGAGCCTTGTCCATTTGGCATTAGCATTCGGTTGACTTGAGCACTTCAAAACAATACTGACCTACAAATTAAAGAATGTTTCTGCAAGCAAAATGCAATTCCAAGTTTTTCATGTACAGCTGACCATTCTGCTTCCTACTGTATGGAGGTATGAAGAAAGTATGAAAGTTCCATCTCATGCTGCATGTCAACAAATGCTTTACACAGCTTTCAAAACAAACATCATTATGTGGAGATGACAATTTCTGTCTGAAGTAATTTGTTTAATTG